TCAACATCTCATGAGCTTCTAAGTGAACATGCCTCAAAAAAAATCTTCAAATACGTAAAATTTCAGATTAAAGGACATTTAAATGAAAAGGTCCTTTTTTGAATAAACTAATGAAATCAATGCTAAGTCTATGCAAATAAATGCACGTCATTAATCAGAGAAGCTGACAAGCAACGCATATTGCTGAGGTGGGGGGGGGAAAAAAGTGATACATTTTTTTCCCATGTTCCTCTCTCTCCCTTGCACTTAAGGGTTATAGTTTCGCTTTAGCCTATCTAGTCCGCTATACCAAAAAATTCTGCATTTTACGGAGTGGGTTTTGTCCTCTTCTCCCAAACTCCCCCCTGAGAGGAGGCTTCTAATACAGCATGGAAAATAAAACAAATGGAGGGAGAGAATTCAAAGCGTGAGAGGTAGGGGGCTGACAGCCGATAGGCAAGAGAAAATTAACTGGGAGCCCTGCAGTGTGGCCATATTGCCTGAAATAACCAAATTCGCTTCGGAAGAAAACTCAATGACAATTTTGATATCCATTTGCAGGAAGCTGAAAGGGATATGTCATAATAAGTGTCCATCTTGTATAATGCAATCCCCACCAGCGCCGAGCTCCACGCTAATATTGCTTGTCTTAAATGGCAGGGCCTTTAATATGATTTATATTTGACTTCTACACTCCATTAAGTGCACTCGATAATCTGTGCTTTGACCTAGCGACGCCTTTTGGCTCAGATCCATTTTTGCTATTCTTTTTTTTTTCTTTTCTGCTGTCGCAAAATGATGATGGGATCAGTGTTAAAAAACTGTCCATGAATGATGATGAAATAAAACTGAGCTGACCTCCTTTTGTCACTGAATAATAGGATTATTAATATCAGTGTGGAGAATGACTATTAACTTCAATTAGGACTCTCTAAAGCTCTTGATATATTCAAATCTGCAAATAACTCTCCTGGTACTATTAATATTGGCATACCAGGGTCTAGCCACATAAGAGTGTTATCTAATGTTGATGTTGTGCTATCTAACGTGATGTTTTTTTAATTAGCAAGTTGGGTTATTAATGAGGGATTCTAATTAAATACAGTTTTTTGTATGACACAAAAACTGCAGCATTGTCTGCTATGTATTTAATAAATATTAAAATCTTCTTATACACACCTAATAACAAGAAAAGGAAAAAAGAGACATAAAAAACACATTGTAAATGTCATGTTATATTAAAATAAAAAAACAACAATAAACATAAAATAATAAAATTTATAAATGAATAAACCAAAAGCATTATGATTAAAAAAAAAATATATATATATGTATATTATTCCAGTCAGTCAATATACTGTCACTTTAATATCTAATTTGCATTACAAAAACACTAAAATACATTTTTAATTTATAATCTTTACATTTTAACAGATAATAAGACCTACATTTAAACATCAATTTCTTTAAAAAAAATACTATTCTGTGACAGTTAAACATGGTACATGTGTTTGACAAGGCCTTTATCAGCACGCCTGACCATTTTGACAGGAGAATCGCTCTTCAGAACGAGACGGGAGGGAGAGAGAAAAATGAAGAGATCATTGGCGAGGAAACTCCAGAACAAAGAGGCTTTCAACAAGCTAAACATTTCCTGGGTCATATGCTCGTCCAAAAAGGGGCGGAAGCAGGAGTCATTTTATTGATTTACACAATCAGGCATCCTATTCGCTGGGTCAGAAAATAGCACCCATACTGTTGTCACATCCTCATATATCACAGCAAAGCCTCTGGATAGTGTGTTATGGCCACAAAGACACACAGATTGCAATGTTGTGGAGACGCAGAGTGCGTGAGAGGAGAGGGTGTTCGAGGTCAGGGAGATTTGAAGTGCCTCCAGGTCACACTTAACAGGACACTCGAGTCACATATACAGTACTGAATGATTTGAGATGCAGCACAAACGTTTCCAAATGAACTGAATAGTTCTTGTTAATTTTTTAAAAGTGTGTTTATAAAATCAAACACTTCCTGGATCTGATCCTGGATAGTTATGTATTACAATATCATAAAACGCTGAAATTAAAATACTGATAAACACCAACTTAAGTTCCATTCCATAAAGTACATTCTTAGCTTGAAAAAGACCATTTCCAATATGGAGTGTGAGAGTCGAGGACTAAACAGTGTTAACATATTAACAGGAGCTAATCCGAGATGAAATTATGCCAGATACTATAACACCGTACACTGTAAAAAATGATTTTGATTTAAACAGTAAAAGACTGTAAAAATGCTACAGTAAAAACCTGTTAACTGGTTAACAGTACGTTTCCATACTATATATGGTGAATAAATGTAATTACATTTAATGTAATTTTACAGTAAAATACAGTTTTTGGAAGTGAAAAAGAAAAAGTCACAAAAGTTCAATTTACAGTGAAAAACCGTAAATTGACACTCCCAGAATTCCCTGCATGACGCTTTTTCCCTGCATTGATGTTTTTTTGTTGAAATAACGTGTTTTTTCTTAGTTTTTTCTTATCAGTTGTGTACATTATGGTTTAATCTTACATCTAATGTTGTTAAATGAATGTTTATTGCATTATTTCAGTATCATGTGTGTCACTGTGATGGGGTTTAGTGTTAGTGTGAATGAAACTGTGCACCTTCTATATATAAGTATTGCCCTTCTTAGCTCGTAGAAAAGCGGTTTATGATGAGCTTTGGTTCATCATGTGACTTTCTCATCACCACCAGTTTTTGGTGGTTATCAGTACATTACAATGGTTCAAAACAGATATTA